CCTGGGACCTACATCTGCGCCGCCATCGCCCACAGTCCCTCCTTCCAGTACGCCTCCCACACCGTCACCCTCCTCGCCGCCGCCCTCCTCACCCTCGCCCACTACGGCATGACCCGCCGACTCGCCCGCGCCCTCACCCGCCTGAACAACCTCTTCGTCCTGATTTTTTGCCTGGAGGCTTACATCAAGGTGCGGGGCTGGGGCTGGCCTCTCTACAAAAAGTTGGGCTCGCCGGCCCTGGATTTCTTGGTGGTGGTCATCTCCCTCCTGGAGGTCTTCCTCGGCGGCACCTCCGCCCGTTCCTATGCCCTGCGCTGCGTCCGCCTCCTCCGCCTCTTCAGCCTGGGCCGGAAGTGGAAGTCCTTCCGACTGGTGCTGACTAATGTGCTCTATACGGCCGCCAACTCCCTCCCCTTCCTCCTCCTCACCACCACCTTCCTCTCCGTATTCGCCATCGGCGGGATGACCTTCCTGGGCGGGAAGCTCCGAGACACAGACCCGTCGACGGGCCTCCCCGTGCCTGCTCGGGCGAATTTCGACTCCTTCTACTGGGCCGTCATCTCCATCTTTCAGATCATGACCCTGGACGACTGGAACCTCCACATGTACCGGGCCATGGGGGCAGCTGACGCGGCGCTGGCGGCGGGGTTTTACGTGACAGCTGTCCTCTTGGGGAGGTACGGGCTTTTGAATTTGCTCACCGCCATTTTGGTGGAGAACTACGCGCAGCTCCAGGAGGAGGAGGGGGAAGGGATGAAGGAGGAAGGACGGGAGATTCGGGAGGCCCGGGCGATGGGGAGAGAAGGGGCGGTGACGATGGGGAAGGAAGGGCGGGGCAGTGGAAGCATCCGGTGCTTGGTGAGGGAGGAGGAGGAGGGAGGGAAGGGGGAGGGGGGCCACCCAGAACGACTGCCGCCACCATGGCTCTACCTGTGGCGCCTCCTGACAAAGTGGAAAGCCTCCTCCCCCTCTTCCTCCTCCGCTTCCTCCTCCTCTTCCTCCTCCCTCCTGAAGGGCCCTCCGGCCCCCTCGAAAACCCACACCCATCGCTTTCCCAAGCAACCACCCCATGCCACCCCTTCCTCCTTCCTTACCTCCTTCCCTGCCCATGGTCCCCCATCCACCCTCCTCCCCGGTAAAAAGAATCCCCCCCCTCCCCTC